ACGACTTACATGTAAGTCGTCCAGAGAGTAAGACTCTGTAGAAGACTTCCAGGAAGTCGTCTGAGTAGTTATCTCACTTCCTGGAAGTCGTCTGCTAGTCTTCTATAGTATTTAGAATAGTGCGCTACCTTTGTATTTGAACTTGAACCTAGGATGAATCTTTTGTGACTTGTGTTTCGGATGATAATGTAAAGTAATGTTTGAACCTAGGATGAATCTTTTGTGTACTAATGTTTAACTTGTGTTTTCAGATGATAATAAATATTTTTGTGTACTAAGGTCTTCTGGACGACTGAAAGGAAGGTCGTCTGGACATAAATAACATCCAACTAAGTCGTCTTGAAGTCGTCTGTGAAGTCTTCTATCTGGACGACTGAATCGAAGGTCGTCTGGACGACTTATTTGAAGGTCGTCCAGAAAAAAGACTTCACAGACGACTTAAAGTTAAGTCGTCTGAAAGTCGTCTATGAAGTCTTCTATCTGGACGACTGAATCGAAGGTCGTCTGGACGACTTATTTGAAGGTCGTCCAGAAAAAAGACTTCACAGACGACTTAAAGTTAAGTCGTCTGAAAGTCTTCTAGAAGAAAGACTTCACAGGCGACTTAAAGTTAAGTCGTCTGAAAGTCGTCCAGAAAAAAGACTTCACAGACGACTTAAAGTAAGGAGCAAAAAATGGTCGTCTAAAGACATAAATAAAGACATAAATAACATCCAGAGAGTACTAAAGACATAAATAAAGACATAAATAAGGACATAAATAACATCCATCTTCGTCTAAAGACATAAATAAAAACATAAATAAAGACATAAATAAGGACATAAATAACATCAATATTCGTCTAAAGATATAAATAAAAACATAAATAAAGACATAAATAAGGACATAAATAACATCCAACTAAGTCGTCTGTAAGTCGTCTTTGAAGTTTTTTTCTGGACGACTTGCAGACGACTTAACTTTAAGTCGTCTGTGAAGTTTTTTTCTGGACGACTGAATCGAAGGTCGTCTGGCGACTTACTCTAAGGCTATTCTTCAACCGGGTTCTTACATTGTGGACGCTTATGGCCCGTTTCTTTGCATCCTGAGCACCTATAAACCATGTGTTGCTTCCGGGGTTTGTGTCCTCTCATCCTGGATAGCTCCAACCATGATTGCCATCTTGATTTCTTCTTTCTCCCTGGACCACACTTTATTTTCGGAGGAAAGCATGTGTGTGTCTTAATTTGTTGTCCAACACAAAGATATATATTCTCTGAATATCCTGCAAACAAAAAATGCTTTGAATATACCGGAGATATAAGTGTGGAGATATGCGAACCAGCTGTTATAGCATGACAACAAGGGATTTTCTCAACTTGATAGACACCACAATCACACTTGGAAAGCTCTAGATCAACATTGCAGTCTCTATGGCCACCTTTCACAAAGAACTTCCATCCATCAATTTGTTGGACTCTTAGAGTACCTGCGATCTCCTCGCGAACAACAAGCAAGTGTTCAACACCTCGACTATGTTGAGTTGTAAGACTCAACGCATCTCCTCTCCTTTTCCAATACCTTCTTCCTAGCTTCTCCCTTATGAACTCCAACAGGAACTGAATAGGAAACCCTCTTGCTCGCTTCAGTGCGGAATTAATTGATTCAGCGATATTGCTCGTTTTTAAGTTGTACCTGTCTCCGTGAAAATGAACCCTTGACCATAAGCTCACATCGGCATCCACCAGATACTCATGAAGATCCGGATTTGCATTATGTATCTCAGCCATGTACCGATTAAAGTCGTAAAGTGTATGAGCATAAGTAGCACCTTTCACCAAGTACAAAAGATGCTTCCCTTTATACTTTTTGACAATATTCTCTTGAAGGTGATAATAGCATATTCCTCGTGTTGCCCAAGGAAACACCTTCTACATGCACTTATAATGCTTGTGTGCCTGTCAGAGACTATCACCAGAGGATGCTCAGCAGATACACAACTCGCCAAATTTGTGAAAAACCATTCCCAAGATTCATCATTTTCAGAATCTACGATCCCAAAAGCCAATGGATATATCTGAAAATTACCGTCTTGTGCGGCTGCAACCAACATAGTACCCTCATACTTTCCA